GAGTGCATTGGTGGTGTCAAGTCATGGATGCAACTCAACAAGTTGAAACTTAATGATGCCAAAACGGAAGCACTTCTCATTCACATTCACAAGTCATCCTCTACCTCAACTCTCCCCCACCTCATTTCAAGTAGGTAACTCCGACATACAGTTCATATCCTCTGCTAGGAATCAAGGCTATATTCTTTCTAACAACATGTCTCTCGATAAACATATCTCTCACATGTGTACCTCTGCATACACCGCTGTCTGTCAGATCAGCTCCATCCGCCACTACCTCAAAGTTAGCGCAACAAAAACCTTAGTCTGTGGTCTTGTTCTCTCTCGTCTTGACTATTGAAACTCTTCTGTCAGGTTCACCAAAACACTGCATAGAAAAACTGCAGAAAGTCCAAAACTCTGCTGCTAGGCTAGTTCTAACAAGGCAAAAAAAGAAAACCCCGTGATCACGTCAGTCCACGACTCCACTCACTTCATTGGCTCCCTATACAGGCACGCGTTGATAACAGGCAGTCTGTTCTCTGTCACAATGTTTTCTTGGATTCCTGCCCCCCTTATCTAACCGAACTTCTTTCTGTCTATTCACCCCATCGACAGCTTCGCTCCTCCGTAGACACGCATATTCTGTCCGTTCCTAAGACACGCACTAAAACATATGGTGAACGATCTTTCTCTTTCTGCGCCCCCAAACAATAGAATTCTCTCCCACTAAACATCGGCCATATACCAACCATCCAGGCCTTAAAAAACTGCACTCAAAACACATCTCTTTAAACTCTACTAACCTGACTCTCTGACCAATAAACGATGCTGCGGAATGCTGTCCATGGCGTTGACATGTAAAAGTTTTGGGGTTGGGGGGGGGGGGGGGTGGTTTGAATATTCATTTGTTTTTGGTTTGTTGTTAAAACAGATTTTTTTTTTTAAAATTAAATAAATGTTTTTTTTTTTTTTTAATGTCATGATTGTGTTTGCTAAAAATGTCATGTACATCACGGTGAGCCCAGCCCTACCCTGGGGAAACCGCGTTAGATAAGACCACTGTTAATAATAATAATGATACTGTTCGCTTATTGTTAATGGGGACTTATTTGCCTCTACGTTCTCTACACTTTGATTTTTTAAAAAAATAAAATAATGCAATGTAGATATTTCTTTCTATTTTCAAGTCAATCTATTGTTGGATTGTTTTCCAATGTGGGTGAGCGAAAGTCTGTGCCTATTTGTGGATTGTTATCTTCAGGCAAATCTTCAATCTTAATTTATCCACTTCCGTTATCAGTAAAATCAGGTCAACACTTAGCTTTATACTTTTTAAAAAAAAAACATGACGTGGACATCTGATTTGTTGGCTGTTTCTTCTTTTTTAAAAAACAAACTCTAGGAAAGTTGGGGTTTGGGGGGGGGGGGGCATGTCTTACTCTGGAATGAATTTTTTTATATTTAGACTTGCGATTAGAAAACTTGAACCGTGTGTTCCGATGTCGGTAGTTCCAGAAGAGAGTCGTTTCATGAATTTCCGCAAGGACTCTGTCTCGCGAAACAGGTTATTCTTTTCAAAACCCTATCTAGAAATTAACTTCCTTTATTCGGTTCACGCCCCCTTGACCTGGCAATATAAGGACTTTTGTTTTAACTGCAGAGTCGCAGTTGTGTCGGATGAAATGATGAGGACCTAGAAGTGTGAAGCGAAGATTTCGATCGGACAACGGAAAATCTATTACTACGTTTGTGGTTTTCATTTTTGCCACTGTTGTGAAAATTCCATCGCGTGACAGTAGCATGACAGTAGCATGAAAGTAGCATGACAGTAGCATGACAGTAGCATGACAGTAGCATGACAGTACCATGACAGTACCATGACATAAGCATGACAGTCACATGGAAAAAGCATGGCAAAAGCATGACAGTAAAATGTCCGTAGCGTGACAGTAGCATGTCAGTAGCACGACAGTAGGATAACAGTAGCATGACATTAGCACGAAAGTAGCAAGACAGTAGCATGACAGTAGTCCGACAGTAGCATGACAGTAGCATGTCAGTAGCTCTCAACTCTTTGGATTGTAAAAAGTTATTTGCTTGAACAGCTACAGCTGGTGTTAAACATGTTTCAATTTGTAAGCATTCTTTTTATTTGGCTGTTTCAAAGATTATTTTTTTTTAAAAAGGAGTTATTTTGTGAATTTATATTTTACACACACAAAAAATCGATGGCTGAATACAGTTTGTCTTTCCCATCATTTATATCCTTAAAAACAAAGTTACAATCACTCATTACCACTTTATTGCAGGTAAATAAACATATTATTATATTTGGCCGTCTCAATTCAGTCGTTAGAAAACAAAGTTACAATCACTCATTACCACTTTATTGCAGGTAAATAAACATATTATTATATTTGGCCGTCTCAATTCAGTCGTTAGAAAACAAAGTTACAATCACTCATTACCACTTTATTGCAGGTAAATAAACATATTATTATATTTGGCCGTCTCAATTCAGTCGTTAGAAAACAAAGTTACAATCACTCATTACCACTTTATTGCAGGTAAATAAACATATTATTATATTTGGCCGTCTCAATTCAGTCGTTAGAAAACAAAGTTACAATCACTCATTACCACTTTATTGCAGGTAAATAAACATATTATTATATTTGGCCGTCTCAATTCAGTCGTTAGAAAACAAAGTTACAATCACTCATTACCACTTTATTGCAGGTAAATAAAAATATTATTATATTTGGCCGTCTCAATTCAGTCGTTAGAAAACAAAGTTACAATCACTCATTACCACTTTATTGCAGGTAAATAAACATATTATTATATTTGGCCGTCTCAATTCAGTCGTTAGAAAACAAAGTTACAATCACTCATTACCACTTTATTGCAGGTAAATAAAAATATTATTATATTTGGCCGTCTCAATTCAGTCGTTAGAAAACAAAGTTACAATCACTCATTACCACTTTATTGCAGGTAAATAAACATATTATTATATTTGGCCGTCTCAATTCAGTCGTTAGAAAACAAAGTTACAATCACTCATTACCACTTTATTGCAGGTAAATAAACATATTATTATATTTGGCCGTCTCAATTCAGTCGTTAGAAAACAAAGTTACAATCACTCATTACCACTTTATTGCAGGTAAATAAACATATTATTATATTTGGCCGTCTCAATTCAGTCGTTAGAAAACAAAGTTACAATCACTCATTACCACTTTATTGCAGGTAAATAAAAATATTATTATATTTGGCCGTCTCAATTCAGTCGTTAGAAAACAAAGTTACAATCACTCATTACCACTTTATTGCAAGTAAATAAAAATATTATTATATTTGGCCGTCTCAATTCAGTCGTTAGAAAACAAAGTTACAATCACTCATTACCACTTTATTGCAGGTAAATAAAAATATTATTATATTTGGCCGTCTCAATTCAGTCGCTAGAAAAGTAATTTACCCTTTCATCGATTGTGGTAATTAAGATTTGCATTTTTTAAATAATGACTTCGATCAAGCTTGTCAGTCATGGATATAAGAGATAGGGAGATTTTACACAAAGGAATTTACTTTCATTCTCGATAAGTCCATAGTTATGTTTCCGGGTAATCTTCAAATTCAAGGTGAATCTAATGGCGAAGATAATAGGGAAACTAACTGAGGCCAAGTTAATGGTGAAATGTTGGCATTTGAACGTAAGTGTTATTTCGTATTGATTATCTTTTATCTTGTGTTACATCTCTCATCATTCGCAATCTATGTCTGGCGTCATATAAGGATTGTTTCGACATAACATTCATCTGTGGTATCTTACCCATATGAGCACTGTGAATATTTTTTTTATAAATTTTTAGAATTGTTTGATTTTGGATTCTAAAATACTCAACAGAAATATAATAAGTCGAGCTCAGTAGACCTCACAAGATTGACGAAAAAAAATAAACCGAGAGGTCACACACTTTTATCAAACTTTCCCTGACTCAACTCATATCTAGTCTAAGACTGCCACAACAACGAAGCGGAAAAAAATGACTCCTTGGTGTCAACGCCGTAAGCTCGCAGCTATCTTACTGTGGGTTTTCTGGTGCCGAACTCCTGGATCATTTAGTGAGATGTCGGCCTCGTTGGACCAAGGTCAAGGTAAAACGGATGATCACGCAACGCGGGATGAAGCACGAAAAGACCTCGATGGTCGCCGGGGTCTGAATGAAGAGAACGGTGGCCACAACCAACATGAATTTGGTGAATTTCAGACACATCCGTCTTACAGAGAATACGAAGATCTAGATACATCGGCCGATGACCACCACGATATCGACGTGTTAAACGAGGACTATTTAAATTTCAAGAAAAGGGAAAACCCCCAAGTGTGGGAAAATAAAATCAATTTCGAAAGTAGAAAGGAAAACCCCGAAGACTTCGGTCAAAAGATGATGACGGATGCATTGAGTGGATGCAGGTGTGTCGCTCAAACTTGTCACTGTCCAAGTCTGAGACTGACCACTGTACCCACCGACCTCCCACCCTACATCACAGGTCTGGATCTGTCCAACAATTCAATATCTTTCCTGCCTAGGCAAAGTCTATGCGCCTATCCGTCTCTTCTGTTCTTGCTTCTTGAATACAACAAACTAAGACACCTTGATAATGACACGTTTGAGTGTATGAAGAAATTGGTCTACCTAAATTTGAGGGGTAATCGCTTGGAGACGTTGAAAGACGATCGGAACTTGGCATTTCCTGACGGCGTGTTCAGGCCCTTGTCTTCGTTACTCGTCCTCAAAATAAACAGAAACGTCAATCCGAAGAATACAATCAATTTCGACTACCCCAGCGAACAGCTCGCTGATCTGAAAAGTCTGAAAGTTCTTTACCTCGATGGCCTCTCCAATGCAGCATTCGGACCCAGTTTCGGTGAGATTGCGTCACTGCACTCCCTCGTTCTGGCTGGGTATAAGGAAGGTTTTTGTGACCTGTCGCACGTTCAAGATGATGCCTTTAAGTACCTGAGCCAGCTACGATCCCTCAACATCAGCGACTGCAAAATAAAAGGTTCACATTTTTCAAAGAATCTTCTCGCACCTCTGACGAAACTTTTTGCCCTTGACATTTCCTTTAATCCCATAAATGCCATGCGCTGCCTCGAGGAGGCTTTAACTGGCATCAGTAACTCAAGCCTCTCAGTTCTTGTGCTCAACGATGTCTTCTCACGTTACCAAAAAGCTGTGACTGTGACGAAACAGGTCGTTGACAAACTGCCAAGGAAGCTTCTTTATCTTGAAGCCAGAGAAAACTGCATAGAAACCTTTGACCCGGATGTCATAGAAATACTTCCCAAGACCCTGAAATACATCGATGTGGGTAACAACAAATTCATCTACGGGAAGTACTTTCTAAACCTGACGGCGTTGGAAAATTTGGAAACACTAATGTTGAACGGCGGGGGGTTCCTTCACTCATTTCCCTCGGCTTTCTTGCCTCGTTCTTGACGATCTCGACTGGGGATGTTCCCGCAGCTGGTAGGCGGCAAGACAAACAAAGAAAATCCATTAGTGTTCAAACTCCCACCCAAGTTACAATACTTGGATATAAGCATCTCAGGGTTAGAATACGCCATATTTAGAATCGAACTGAGTCACAACAATTCTTTGAGATATTTAAATATGGGATCCAACTACTTTCCCGTTTTTCACGACCCCTTCATCGGATTTGAAAATCTTATTTACATGGATTTAAGTAAGGCATCGATTGAATATTTTGGGGAACATTTCTTCTCGGGCTTCAAATCGCTGAAGCATCTGAGACTGGCCTCGAACAACCTGGGGAAATGGTTGGACAAGGAGAACAGAAAACCGTTCAGTTGCCTCAAAAACCTCACCACGCTTGACCTGTCCAACACTCAAATAATTCACTTTGGCTCCGATGTTTTTAATGGACTCAGCAACGTTGAGGTGCTGTTGCTGGACATGAACAAAATATACTTTTATGATAATCCGTTCGCCGACATGAACCAACTGAGGTTTTTGAGCCTACGTGACAACGAAATCAACACGCTGCCACTAGAAGTGCGCAAACAGATTGACCGACTCGTCGCCAGCTATAAGTTTACGCGGGTGGACTTATCCTACAACCCGATTCGCTGCGACTGTGACAATCTGGAGTTCCTCAGGTGGATGGTCCAATCTGATGCTTTCGACAAGAAGTTCCGTGGCTACAGCTGCTATAATCCAGACCGATCCATCAAATTCATCCAGGACGGGTATGCGGAAACGATCCGAGTTCTTGGAAGGCAGTGTTATGAGAATTACCCGATGTTCCTGACAGTGATGGCGGTGACGTTGGCCATGCTTGTCATTGTATTTGTTGGAGTGATCTACAGGTAAGATTTAGGCTAGTGTTTTTATTAAATATTATATATAAATATATATATGTAGAGGGTGGGCCAAAAAAGTGAGAACATCTCGTAAAATATAACGCTACGAAATGTTCTCATTTTTATTGGCCCACCTACCCTGTATATATGACTGAGCTTAGATATCCATATAACGCTTTATACGAATCAACTCAATTTTGCCCCGATTGCTCAAAAAGAATTAAAGGGATTTTCTAATTTTTATGGAAATCGAATCGATTATTTTTTTTTTAAATGCTAAAAAGTAAAATATTTCTGCTTATAATTACTGATAATTATATATTAGATACATTTAGTATATGAATTAAATAACTATTTTAAGAGCATTACTCGACTTTCGAATTTAAAATATTATTTTTATTTTCAACAAATGAGCCTCTATTCACTAGTCTTTTTGTGCTGGTGACGTAATTATTAAAGAAAGAAAGAAAGAAAGAAAGAAGGAAAGAAAGAAAGCAAGAAAGAAAGAAAGAAAGAAAGAAACGAAACAAAGAAAGAAACGAAACGAAACGAAACAAAGAAAAAAAGAATAGTTACGCAGAACGTATTTTTTTCGTTAAACAACTTATATACAACTATTTCTATCCATGTATGTCCTGTGTGTGTGTACACCTATACAATTCATCCGATAGCGACAAAGCTTTTGTGAGTTCTTGTACACTCGTCCGCAAAGGTTTCTGAATTAAGTTATCCATTATGAAATATTTCGTTTGGGACGAGGAGCCCTAAATTATTTTTTTCTTACATGAGTGATACAAATATAATTTCAAACAAAGCTATTGCATGGGGGAGGGGTGGGTGAGTGTGGATTTAAAATCAAATACAAGCGACACTTACGTTTGTGTGTGACATAATAAGTAGGTTTCTGAATGAGTACAACCATTTCACAATTCGGCGCTTCGGGCCGGGGCCTTAAAAAAAATAAATTATATGAGCTATAAAAATATGATTTCCAACAAGCTAGTACATGGGTAGATCTCTAGCTACAAGTGTGTGGACTCAATTGAGAAAATCCATGCTTCTCACTATCACAGCTGTATGTTGCTTCTCACTAGCACAGCTGCATGTTGCCTTCTCCCTAGCACAGCTGTATGTTGCCTTCTCACTTGCACAGCTGTATGTTGCCTCTCACTAGCACAGCTGTATGTTGCCTTCTCACTAGCACTTCTGTATGTTGCCTTCTCACTAGCACTTCTGTATGTTGCCTTCTCACTAGCACTTCTGTATGTTGCCTTCTCACTAGCACAGCTGTATGTTGCCTTCTCACTAGCACAGCTGTATGTTGCCTTCTCACTAGCACATCTGTATGTTGCCTTCTCACTAGCACTTCTGTATGTTGCCTTCTCACTAGCACAGCTGTATGTTGCCTTCTCACTAGCACTTCTGTATGTTGCCTTCTCACTAGCACTTCTGTATGTTGCCTTCTCACTAGCACTTCTGTATGTTGCCTTCTCACTAGCACTTCTGTATGTTGCCTTCTCACTAGCACTTCTGTATGTTGCCTTCTCACTAGCACTTCTGTATGTTGCCTTCTCACTAGCACTTCTGTATGTTGCCTTCTCACTAGCACTTCTGTATGTTGCCTTCTCACTAGCACTTCTGTATGTTGCCTTCTCACTAGCACTTCTGTATGTTGCCTTCTCACTAGCACTTCTGTATGTTGCCTTCTCACTAGCACTTCTGTATGTTGCCTTCTCACTAGCACTTCTGTATGTTGCCTTCTCACTAGCACTTCTGTATGTTGCCTTCTCACTAGCACAGCTGTATGTTGCCTTCTCACTAGCACAGCTGTATGTTGCCTTCTCACTAGCACATTGCCTTCTCACTAGCACTTCTGTATGTTGCCTTCTCACTAGCACTTCTGTATGTTGCCTTCTCACTAGCACAGCTGTATGTTGCCTTCTCACTAGCACAGCTGTATGTTGCCTTCTCACTAGCACAGCTGTATGTTGCCTTCTCACTAGCACAGCTGTATGTTGCCTTCTCACTAGCACATCTGTATGTTGCCTTCTCACTAGCACATCTGTATGTTGCCTTCTAACTAGCACAGCTGTATGTTGCCTTCTAACTAGCACTTCTGTATGTTGCCTTCTCACTAGCACAGCTGTATGTTGCCTTCTCACTAGCACAGCTGTATGTTGCCTTCTCGTGTGTTGAAACAAAAAAGTCTAATTTATTTGTGTACGTACCAGATAAAAAACACAATATTTTCTATTTAAAAATTAGTTAAAAAAACTCAATTTCAACACAAACACCTTTTTTGAGTGGCAATGGAACGCATGCCGGGTTCTTGATGGTGATAAATAAAAATGAATATCACAAACGAATGAATTGAATAAGCCTATGCTTTATATAACCTTAGATGGGATATCATAATAAAATCATAACATTTTTATGAGTATGCTAATGTCTACAATCGTTAATGTATCATACACCATGAACTCTCCAGGTTCCGTTGGAAGTTACGCTACTTGTACTACGCTGCGTATCTCAGGCTTAAATCTGCCGATCAGCAAGAGCAGTCGGAGCAGTATCGATACGATGTCTTTGTTTCCTACACCTACAAGGATGAACAATTTGTTCTTTCGGAGCTGATGCCAGGTAAGCGAATAATTGTTAATGCCGTATTGTTTTTTAAATTTTATTTCGGGCAGAGCAAGAGACAAGAAACGAGTAATACACGGATCTTTCCTAGAAGTTCCAGGGGCATGTAGTATCTCCCCCCCCCCTCCATTTTTTTATGGTATTGTGTTTTCACAAAGCAAAAATACAATTTTAATTATTTTTTTTTTACGAACCCCATACCAAATTATTTTTTATTTTTTTCTTCAGAATTGCGAAACAGAGGGTTGAAACTTCACGTCCACGGACGAGACTTCGTGGCGGGAGATTTCATCGCTTCCAACATTTTGACGGCCGTCAAGGAGAGCCGGAAGACGTTGGTGGTTCTCACACGGAGCCTGCTGTCCAGTGAATGGTGTCACTACGAGCTGCAGGTTAGGATCAAGGCTGTCTGACTTGCAATTTTTTTCATGGTCTAATTTTACAGTTAGTCATGTTTATTGGAGTGTATCTAGTTTTTTTGAAATGGTGAAGTATTGAATATGGCAAATTGTGTACTTGTGTAAACAATGCCCGAAACAAACAATTCTCAATGAGAGCCACGATGGGATACTTTATAATGCATTGCTTTTAAATTTAGCTCCTTTATTTTAATTTTAATTCCTTTATTTCAACTATATCACCTTTATTTTACATATGATACATTTCTTTTACATTTAGTTCCTTTATTTTAATTTTAATTCCGTTATTTCAAATATAATACCTTTATTTCAAATTATATAATACCGTCATTTCAATATACTAACTTTCTTTCAAATACAATATATTTCTTTCAAATATAATACCTTCATTTCAAATATAATACTTTTATTTCAAATATAATACCTTCATTTCAAATATAATACTTTTATTTCAAATATAATACCTTTATTTCAATATAATACCTTTATTTCAAATATAATACCTTTATTTCAAATATAATTCCTTTATTTCAAATATAATTCCTTTATTTCAAATATAATTCCTTTATTTTAATATAATACCTTTATTTCAAATATAATATTTTTATTTCAAATATAATATTTTATTTCAAATATAATACCTTTATTTCAATATAATACCCTTATTTCAAATATAGTTCCTTTATTTCAAATATAATTCCTTTATTTCAAATATAATTCCTTTATTTCAAATATATTTCCTTTATTTCAAATATAATTCCTTTATTTCAAATGCGTCGTCAACCAGTTTCCATTAGGTGACAGGTGCAGAAGATGTGGGCTCTTGTGTGTCTATGTGATAGTGTGTGTTGTGTGCAAGCGTATGTGTGTGTATTCGTTTTGTGTGTGTGTATGTGTGTATAATTGTGCATGTGTTGTGTGTGTGTGTTCGATTAGAGGCTTTCATGTCTACTTTCTGCTTGCGTTAACATCAGGTGCCTAAGATTTTCTGTTTACAAACATGTGAGTTTGAGGGGCACACCCCTCCCCCCCAAAAGAAGATGGTGAGTTTTTGCTGAGAAGGGAGGGGGGGGGCAGATGTCTCTCAAAACAAGCACATTTAACAAGAGTGGACGAAATGTTATATTTCAACATTTTTTGTTAAAACAAAAGTATTCTGTTTAAGCTCAGTTAAGAAACTTTTATGTCTTGGCGATGCGATTAAATCTCAGTAATGCCACTTCTGAAACGAGTTAGACTAATATACATTTTAACCTATACAAATAGCTTCGAATCAGGTAATGTAGTTCCCGAGATGTACATCTACACAACAATTGTGTCCAGTGTTTCCTCCCGCTTCCCCACCCCATTCCCACCTCCACTCAAAAGCCCATAGTTTGGAAGGCAAACGTTAAGTTCAGAAAGTCTTTAAACGCCGAAACACAACATTATTTGTTAATAATGAGATTCAAACTCTGTCCTTCCTTTCCTTTTCCCCCCCAGATGGCCAACCAAGAGTCCGTCCAAACTGGTCGGCAGGTTCTGGTTTTCCTGCTGA